CTGGATCTGTCGGTGTTTGTGAGCTGCCATGTGGGTACCAGGAATCAAACCCAGTCCTCTGAGAGCAGCAGTGCACGCAAGCACTAAGGCATCTCTCCAGCCCCATATAAAAATATTTTAAACAAAGTTACAACTGTAAACGTTTAGGATAAAATTAGTTTTAAAAGTAAAGTTCTTTTTATACATCATTCTCATTGGATCCAAGGTACCTCCACAAATATATTTTCAAAACAGCCAGAATGGTAGTTCATGCCTGTAATCCCAGAATTCAGTGGACAGAGAATTTCCCTGAGTTCAAGGACAGCCTGGTCTACATAGTAAGTTCCAGGACAGCCAAGGCTACATGGCAAGAGTCTACCTTAAAATACATAACAACTCTTTAAAAAAGTCAAGTTCAAATTTTTTATAGGATGAAACTAATGACCAGGGACAGGAATCATGGAAGTCTCCAACTCTAGGAGTACAAAAGTTTAGATATAAAAGTGACAGAGGGGAAAAAATTAGAATAATTTAAGACATAAGAAGTAAATAGATAATTTAAATTATATAACAAATTTGATTGGTTGAAAAAAATTTTTAAAGTTCTACGTAAGATTTCCAAAGAATTTATATAAAGAATATATATCAAAAACTCTTCTAGAGAAGCTGAAGAGATGACTCGGTGGTTGGGAGTCCACATTGCTCTTGCACAGGACCCAAGTTCAGTCCGCAGCACCCACGTCTGGCATCTCACACCACCTTTAGCTCCAGCTGTTAGACTCTCTTCTGGACTTCTCCTGGGGCACCACACACACACACACACACACACACACACACACACACAATTTTTTAAAAAAAATCTAGAGAAAACTCATTTTTTTTAATTCTAGACATTATCCTTATTTTATCTGTTTTTGTTTTGTTTTGTTTTGTTTTGTTTTTTCATGTTACCCATGTTGGCCTCAAGTCTGCAGACTTGCAAGAACTTCCTATCTGAACCTCCTAAGAAGGGAGGGTTGCAAGCAAGTGCCACTAAGGCCAGCTTTCGGGTCATATTTTAGTCACAAAAACACGCAGCTGGGACACGTTAAAACCAAACATTTTTGTTAGAAAAATTTTTACCAACTTCTTATTGTTGTTTTGTTTTTTCAAGACAGGGTTTCTCTGTGTATCCCCGAGTGTCCTGGATCTCAGAGATCTGCCTGCCTCTGCCCCCCAAGTCTTAGAATTAAAGGCACGTACTACCAAGTCCAGCTGCCAACTTTTATTTTAGTTATTTATATATAGTTTTAGAAAAATCTAACTACACTGGACAAATCTCAACATCCTTAGCGCATATAAAATACCAAGGGAAGCTTAAGCTCTCAGTGAAAGCTTGTCAAGTAGACAACCACACTCATATATCGAGTGAATTTTGTTAGTCACAATATTTTTATATCGTATTAACTTATTTTCATCAAAATATAGTGGAAGAGATGCCGTTTTCAAGCTGACCCTCACCGCTTATTGTCTCAGAATGTTTTAAAGATTTCAAGTTAGACATCAATCATAAATAATAGTAATTGGTACTCAGAGGCCACTTATGGCTTTAAATCAAGTTTGTTCTCACTACTGAACAGGTTAAGGTTATAAGTACTATTTGGATTGACTCTGCCAGTCTCAACCATCCAATCAAATATCCAATGCACAGTGTCAGCACTTTTCTGTATAGCACAGAAAGGTCTGGGAGATTGGAGGAAAGAACTGTAGGAAACTCTTCAATCACAGTCCTTTGGGTATCTTAGCAACTCTGCACATAACTGTTGAACCACTGTGATAAACTCTGCACATAACTGTTGAATCACTGTGATAAACTCTGCTTTTTTTTTCTGCCAATGCTCTTTCTCCAGCTCCTGAGAGATGTCTAATAGTCTTGCTGTTGTCCTGGCATTTACATACATAAACTTGGTACAACAGGCAAACTTAGGGCAAGGTACGGTATGCTGGCCATTTGAAATGTATCTGTGATGCAGATAAATACATCTGCCCAAAGAGCTGCAACAGGGAACAGTGTATACATGTCAATGCAGGACAAGTAAAGTGTGTCCAGCTTAGAGATAATGTATATTTGGAATATATATATCTTACAGTATGTGATAAACTAAGTCAGAAGATAAAAGTACCTTTTTGGTACTATTAAATCCATTGTCCATTAATATATTTCAATGACTAACTCATGATAATCATTAAGTACATGCAAATCCACTACTCAAATAAATTGTCATGTATAGCTCGTTTTGCCAGTAATATCAAAGCAAATTATCAAAGTATCTGAATAATTAATTTATTATGATAAACATATATATCAAGTATTATAATGCAGTGATCTTACTTTGCATAAAACATATATCCCTAAAAGACTACATGAATAAATTCAATTTCTATAACTCAAATCTTAGAAATGCATCAAATTATATGAAATACTTTTAGCTTGTTAAAAATATCATACCATACCAGTTTTGTCATTTTCATATACCTAGCTTTAAAGTCAGATTCACTGACAATACCAGCTGCTGGATTTGCAATTGTTCTAAAGTTCTTACAGAAAGGTCTAAGTTCTTAAAACAGAATGTACTTATTCATACTAAAAGGTTTTGTTTGTTTTATTGAATTAAACGTACTTCCTTTTTTTTCCTTTCCTCTTCTTTCCTCTTCTTTTCTTCTCTGATTTGGGCCAACCGCTGCTTCTTACGTTCCAACTCAGCTTTTAATTCACTTTTGTCCGACATGGTTGTGACCTTAAAAATCATACATTTATAATAATCATTACATGGATTAAAAAAAGTAGCAGACTTAAAAAAAATAATACTTTAAGAAATATGACAAGAAACTAAAAATTTCGATGATACCTAAGAAAAACAACACGTTATATTTTTAAATAATAAAAACATAGGTACTTATACTATTAAGACGTAAGAAAAAATTATGAACAAGTATTATCCAAAATTTGAGCACAATAGCTAGCACATAGTGGGCGCTTTAATGTTCCTAAGACCAAGTTTAACAATGTCTCGCTCTGTAGCCTAGGCTGTCCTCATGGCAATCTTTTTATCTAAGACGCTGGTGAGCTGGGAGTCAGCCAGCACACCCAGATCCAAAGTTTTTTAATTACTCTGAATTTGATCAAGTCATAACTAGTGTTTAAAACAAAAGACAGGGTTGGCACTAAACTTGTCTTAGAGTATGATGGCTCACACCTGAAATCCCAGCTCTGCAGAAGCGGGAGAAGAGTTCCAAGAGCATGGGCCATACGTAGCAAAACAGGTTTTTAAAGAATGTCTAGTCTTCAGCCACGAATGCAAACATATTAACAGATATTTCTGCATTTGTTCCTAGAAATTCGATAAGAAGGCTGAATGACTAAACGGAGAATTCCTAAAAATCCTGTAAGCTCCATCAATGTTCCATAACAATCAAACCAAATGGCATTTTTTTTACATGATTGTCTGTGAATGGACCTGAAATGGTCCATATTGGACTGCCATCTATTTGAGCCTGGGACTGTGTTTTTGTCATTTTTGTTACTTTTTCAGTATGGCAACCGTAACATTAAAATGACAGTGGCTAAGTGAACCACGTGTAGAGTACATGGAATTACAAACTTGAACACTTCATACGAAGATGAACCAGGATCTTTCTGAACTAGAAAGTAACTTAGGGGCTGAGCGTAAGATGGGAGCCAGGAATCTGTTACTTTAGCTACATTACTTGTTTAATCTCTGTCAGTGTCGCTCTTGGTACAATTTCAAGAATAAATATTTTAGATTTAGGAAACTGGGCGAAAAACCTCAAACACAATAGATTTGGATTAAGTGCAAGTTGGTAAGGAGGCAAGAGTACCCACTGTAAATGCAAAAGGGGGATTTTGATTACAGTATGCAAGAAGGATTGACAGGCCAGGGGACAAAAAAAATGGTGAGCAGGTGATAGGGGAAATCCCTTTAATGCAATCATATAATATGTACCTTACATATACTCCCAGCCAAGTCACAAAGCAAGAGCCCCTGTCTCCTCACCCACCCTTCCCAGGCCTCTGAGAAGCTTCACACTGTTAAGGGCTGTTGAAGGGAGCTTCCATACACATTACTCTGTATGCTAGGCTGGACGTATTCTTTTCTGTTTACGGTCAACTGTCAACAAGTATATCAATAAATACTACCTGCTACCTAGATTAAAGAAGTAATCTCTTCAGTCAGCTGTAACTAGTCTGTCCGGCTTTAGCACCGGTGATCAGCTAGCTCCTTCATCCTCAGACAGGCCAGAGCCACTGCTCCGTGACTGACAGGTTCATTTTCTTAAAACGCCGGCAAGAGGAAGGTGTCTAACAGGGTGTTAAAACCTCTCAGTGTTCAGCGACCTCCAACACACACGCCAGGTGCCTGGACAAGCTACCGACCCAAGGAGTAGCGACCCCTTATTCATACAACCAAGCAAAACTTAAGGAATTAGTTTCTCCCTGGGCTTAAGGCCAAGAGGACGCGGTCCTGGCTGGGTGTGTCCCGGAACCGCGGGACCGATGCAGGGCAAGCCCCGAGACACCAAGGCTCCGGCCCCAAGTGTTGCGGGGCCGCGGTGGCCTCCCCAGGCCTTCTAGAGTCACCAGGGCCGGTGCTGTCAGAACGATCGACCGGCCGGCCCAGCGAGCTCCGACGCCACCACCGGAGGCAAAAGGGCCTTGAAGGAAGCGCGGCCGACCCACCTGTCAGGTGGCGGGGTGGAGAAAGCTTCCTCTGGCCGGTAACTTCCCGGGATCGTCCCTCTCCAACAGTCGCCACCGCAGATCCGTGGCGTCCCAGACACACAAAGAGGGATGGGCGGCGGCCGCTACGGCGAGAGCCAAGGGACAAACGGCTGCGCCGAGACGCGGTCGCTCACAGAAGCGGAGTCGCGGCCGCCTGGTGGGGCTGGGCGGAGTTACTTACCTTTTGTAAAACAGAAGCTGACGGGTGAAACAGATCTACACCGGCCTCAGGACCCGAAGTATTTCCGCTTTGGCAAAAACTGGACAACTGCACCTCACATCCTGGGGCGGAACCCACAACACCCCAGAGAACTGCAAGGCCCGGCAACTAGTCGCATTGCCCGGTCATAAGACTTGTAGGCCTCCAATAGAGGCAAGGTATGCTGGGATATGTAGTCTGTCTTAACTTTTTGGCCCCAAGAACCTTAAAATGACAGTAGGAGCATTCTAGCATCTGTCTTGAAAGTGTTTTCTTTGGTTGTACAGTGCTCACAATGTTGTATGTCTTCTTTCTTAAGATCCGTAGCCCAACATTAACAAAAATCTTAAGAAATGTTGTTTTCCATATTGAAACGGAGAAAGGGACACTTTTAAAAGCGTTTATAAACATGTACCTTACCTGTGGACAGAATTTTAGCGAGTTTCGAGCACGGGTTTTAGGTGTATGTGTTTACTGAGGCTTCATGTAGCATGTGCACAATATCTAAATAAAAATATATTAAGTAGCATATAAAATATTTTCTAGTATCTTATAGCAGAATACTCTTCTCTTAAAAGTATGTTTGGTAAGAAAGCATTTTATTCCTAGTGATGGTGGTTCAGTCCGTTAATCCCAGCACTCCGGAGACAGAGGCGGGCGGAGCTCTGTGGGTTCAAGGCCAGCCTGGTCTACCGAGGGAGTTCCAAGACAGCCAGGGCCATGCAAAGAAATCCTGTCTCAAAACAAAACAAAAAATAAAAACAAAACAAAACAAGAAAACCCAAAAAACTATACTATTGGATCTGATTAGATTTTAAATATGCAGAAAATTATTGGAATATAAATTATCAGAAGAGTATGGGCTAACACAGATGGTTTGAAAAGTTTGTTTGAACAATTTGCAGCATTATTTACCAATTATTAAAGCTAATGCCAAAACATGATATTTCTTATCATCCAGAAAACTGACAAGAAGCACATTGCTTAAATTTAGATTATATCGAGTTTTAAGTTCTAAAATTTCAAAGCGTGTTTATTTAAGCAACCTTTGTTTCCTTCTCTCCATTATAGTTTCTGTCTCTTCGCTTGAAAGAGCTCTCCTGAGGGTCACTCATCCTGTACCGGGAATGGAGCTTTATTCTATAGGAACTAAAACCCATCGCCCTTCTTCAAGGAAAAAGACTGGGTGCTCAGTTCAATGAACTGTTAAGACAAGATTGAGTAACTAAGCCATAGAAACAGGTAAGAGGGGGCTGGAGAGACGGCTCGGTGGTTAAGAGCACTGCTTGCTCTTCCAAAGGTCACATGGCAGATCTCCTCAGGCCCTATCTCCTCCCTTGTTTTCTCCTGTCCTACTGCTTAGCTCTCTGCACCCTATCCCTACCCTCACTAATGCAGCTCTCTCGGAGGAGAGGAGAGGAGAGGAGAGGAGAGGAGAGGAGGGGAGGGGAGGGGAGGGGAGAGAGGGGGAGAGGGGAGGGGGAGTATTTTTAGGGTTCATGGAGATCTTCGGGGGGATCTTGTTTCATCAAACTACATTATCCTGGAAGGAATCCACAGGTTCTCATCTTCTGGGGAAACAAAGGCAGAACCTCTTTTCCAAAGTAATATATCTTTATACCCAAACTTTTTAGACAATAACCCTTTAAAATATATAAGTTGGTTTAGCTTAGTGGCTCCCAAAATCAAATGGTTTCCAGCAGTTAATTCATTAACAATCAAAACTCCGAAGAAAACACAATAATACACATAATCCAGATCCTCTGTGTATATTCATTTTTAAATTGATTTTATTGAGGTATATATTTTTCTCTACTCCACTCCCTTCCTCTCCTCTCCCATTCAGCCCCCACCAATGGTCCCTATGCTCCCAATTTACTCAGGAGATCTTGTCTTTTTCTACTTCTCATGTAGATTAGATCCATGTACGTCTCATTGCTGTTTAGATTTTCTGGGATTATGGATTGTAGGCTGGGTTTTTTTTTGCTTTATATCTAAAAGTCACTTATGTGTGCGTACATATGATATTTGCCTTTCTGGGTCTGGATTACCTCACTCAATATGTTTTCTAGATCCATCCATTTGCCTGCAATTTCAAGATGTCATTTTTTTCTGCTGTGTAGTAGTCCATTGTGTAAATGTACCACATTTTCCTTATTCATTTTTTTTTTTTTTTGGTCAAGGGGCATTTAAATTGTTTCTAGGTTCTGGCTATGACAAGCAATGCTGCTATGAACATAGTTGAGCACATGTCCTTGTGGTACCACTGAGCATCCTTTGGGTAAATACCCAAAAGTGGTATTGCTGGGTCTTGAGGAAGGTTGTTTCTGATGTGAGATTTCCCTCTGTATGTTGTGATTACCATTAATGAATAAAGAAATTGCTTTGGACCTATAGCAGGGCAGAACTTAGCTAGGTGGGGAAAACTAAACTGAATGCTGGGAGAAAGGAGGCAGAGTCAGAGGAGAAGCCATGTAGCCCCACCAGAGATAGACACTGAAACTTTACCCAGTAAGCTACAGCCTCGTGGCAATACACAGATTACTAGAAATTGGTTAAATTAAGATGTAAGAGTTAGCCAATAAGAAGCTAGAGCTAATGGGCCAAGCAGTGATTTAATTAATAAAGTTTCTGTGTGATTATTTTGAGGTTAAATGGCCAGGGACCAACAAGCAGCCTTTCTTGTAACATGTTTCCTAATTTTCTGAGAAATCACCACACTGACATCCAAAGAGGCTGTACCAATTTGAAAATTCTATCAAACTCCACCTTTAAGATGGATGTCTCCTTTATTCTATTTTATCAATAAAGACTTGGGAAGAGGCCAGGGTGCAAACCTGCGAGTGCAGAGAGGCAGAGAAAGCACCCAGTTGCTTCCTCCTCCACAGAGAGACTTTCTCCTATGCCATCTCAAACAAAAACTCCTCCAACTGGATGTCCCTCCCTTCTACTTCCTGTTTCCTGTGCATCGCTCTTTCTGTCCTCCTGACTTCCTCTTACTCTCTTTGGTTATTTCCTTTCAGCTGGATGCTTGCTCCAGCTATGGTTGATTTTATTTAATTCTGTTTACAGTAATCAAGCAGAAAGATCTTAGATTAAAGGTGTGTGCTGGGGCTGAGCCACACCACAGCTAGAGGCAGGTTTTTCCAGTAAATAATGCAATCTCGGGGTTCACAGTGCGATAAAATATCCTGCAAGAGATGCATCCTCCTTATTATGTATGCATGGTAAGTGATCAAGATGTTAAGAACAAAAAGGATCAGTGAAGCAAACTGTCAAAAGGAAGAGGAAGGATTGGAAGGGTCACAGCTGTATTCTGCTACCCAGAGGTTCAGGATCTCCAACGAGTCATGGGACTCACCAGGTCTTTTTTGAACAGTCAACCTTAGGATTTATCACCAATTACCAATAGCCTTATGATGTCTATCTTCATCACACAGACCACAGAAATTATGTCATTGTGGAAAAGAAAAATGTGGTCTGTTAGCAGTGTAGGAAGCTTTTAGCAATGGCTCTGTCTGTCTGTCTGTCTGTCTATCTATCTATCTATCTATCTATCTATCTATCATCTATTTGGGGTTTTTTGAGGCAGGGTTTCTCTGTGTAACAGCTCTGATTGTCCTGGAACTCATTCTGCAGACCAGGCTGGCCTTGAATTTGTAGAGCTCCACCTGCCTCTGCCTTCCAAGTGCAGGGATTAAAGGTGTGTGCCACCAGCACCCAGCCCAATGACACCTTTTAAAAGATTATTTTTAATTGCATGTATGTATGTGTGTGCAGGGTGTATGCTTGTGAGTGCAGGCACCTGGAGAGGCCAGAGGTATCATTTGGAGTCACAGATGGTAATGAATTGCCTGATAAGGCTTCTGGGACGTGAACTCTGGTCCTCTGGAAGAGCCATAAGTGCCCTTAGCTGGTAGCAGTCTTTCTAGAGCCTAGCAATGACATCATTTGGTATTTATCTGTATTGTCACTTCGTTAGATAAACTTTGCTAAAATGAAATCTATTAAAGTTGAAGATACACTTCAGTGACTTTCTCTCCAGGCAACGAACATGTTTCCCAAGATCTTTGCATAAGTGTGTGATCTTTATTACTTTTCCCCCACATTAATTAGGGGGTCGTCTAAGATCTCACTTTGCTTATCCAAGTTCATGAGGCTCAGCCTCCGGGACTTAAAGATCGTTCATCTTTTAAATGTTAATAGCTCCTCTGAGCTGCTCGCGTTTTTAATTTTTTTTTCCCCTAAACTCTTCCACTTCACCTTCAGGAACTGTATTTGACCCTTTCAGAAACACTGACAGAAAAGAAATGTTTTCTCCCAACTTTGGAACTATCTTAACTTTCCCATTTCCTCTCATGGTAAGGAAAGCTCTTTAAGGGACCCTCCCCACTCAAGGGAATGCTCATGAGCTGACCGGCAAGCCTCTCATAATATAATAGCATTACTTTTCTATTATCCTTATTATTCTTCCAGTCTGTATTTTTTCCCCTTCAGAGTGTTTGCTGCATTGTTAAGTTAATATGGGTTTTTTCCCCCCATTATTTCCTCTACTTGTCTTGATGCACATATTTTCTCTCTTAGTGTCAAAATAAGGTGATGGTGAATTAGGAGTCCTTCCCGAGCTGAGGATACTTTTGTAATCTGGTAACCTTTGGCATGAAGCACATAGCCTAGTGAATGATGGAGCACTTAAGTGTGATTCACCACTGAACATTACAGAAAATAGGCTGAGGGGCTCGGGAATTCAAGGCAAGTTCCTTCTACTCAGCGTGGTGTATATACCGCACTCTCACTTTCCCACCCCCTATTATGTGGTTAAGAGAGAGGAGATAATGACGGCTTCCTAAAGTTACCTATAATGCTCTCAAAACTCTGTGAGGTGTAATGGTTTTAAAAGGCAGAATGAAAACACAGCTAGGAGATCAACACAAAAGGAATCATTTTCTGATAGCGACAGTGAGCCTCCATTCTTACACACACACACACACACACACACACACACACACACACACACACCCCTCCCATTAACTGTAATGGGAATTATGAGTGCCCCATTAAAGGAACTTACACCCTCCAGATGTGGTGAGGGGACGCTCATTCTCTCTAGGCTTCTTGTATTGATTTAGTTTCTTGAGGTAGAATAAAATCATTAATTTTTTTTTCTCAACTACTCTGGATGCTCAGTATGTTCTCTTTGGAACATGGGGCATGTAGGACAGCAATTACTAATCACTAGCCAAAATGCAGTTAACCACAGATAATGTGTAAAATCCGAGCCATACCAAGATTGATTAATTTTCATGTTAGAAGCATTGGCCTGTCATCTTCCTCTCTGAATAAATATTTATTCAACATTTGACCTTTCTGGGTCTAGGAAAATTTCAGAGTGGCTAAGATTTTCTTCATTAACATGGAAATGATCTTTTAATTATTCAGCATGTTGATTAACAACATGCCTAGATTTGCATAAAAGGAAAGAAACTTAGATTTACTTAGTATGTTTCCAGCCAATATTTATCTCTATATGAATATGGAAACCTCCATCACTGGCAGATACATGGGCTGCTTTGAGAATGTTGTGTTGGCCTGTGTCTAAATATATGCATGTGTGTCTATTGGCTCACACCCTTACACACTGAGAAATATTTACACAAATGTAACATGGTCTCCTGAGCTTTCAAGTGGAATATCCTGATCCCCACTGGGTATCTCTGTAGGCCCATAACTCTACATGGTACAGAAGCCAGGCTCTCAAGTCATAGTTCTCACCTGAGGTGGTCACTGTAGCCTTCCAGACAGGCTGTCGCTACCCTAAAAAAGGGTCAGGATGTTGTTCTGCTCCTTTTTTGTAATTTGGATGCCTGAAAAGAGATGTTAATTCAGCCTACATGACAGAGCTGGCATACAGAGCAGGAAGATAGGAAGACGTGACAAAATGGGCATAGAAAGGTGTGGCAAAAGTGTGGACGTGACTAAAGCCATTCACCTGGTTACCTAGGAAACAGAACGCTAATGAATTCCCCCTCAGTTTATGTTTTGGTATAAAGGCTGTTTGGAGAATAAACACAGAGGAATTTTCAGGATGTGAACTCAGGATTTCATGAGGGATCACTGAGAATCTCCCTCGCAATAAAATCATGTGAGTTGTGTCTTTAATCCCACACCTCCCCTCTGATCTGAAGAATTAATTTAGGGTCCTGGCTGGCACCAGACCCCAACGTATCTCTTGCAGATTCCAC